CGAAGACGAATATGTGGAGAAAGCCAAAGGCGAAAATTAGTGTAGAAAAGAAAACGAACGCGAACGCGAAGATGAATACGAAGGTAAATATGAAGAGGTACCTGAAGACGAATGTGGAATAGAACACGAATATGAAAATAGGTACAAAGACGAGGAGGAGAATACGATGACGACCACAGAAATGGATACAAAGACGGATGCAACTGCAAAGACGAAGATGTATAAAAACATGAAAAAAAACGAATCGTCGAAATGAACTGCGCTTTGGTGCGCTTACATAAAATTAAGTAAAATCAACACGAAGAGATTTCGGCTTAAAAACGCCCTATCTCACTTCAAAATGTATTGAAAATATGCTGATATAGGGCGTTTTTGAAACGAATTCTGAAATAGGGCGTTCTTTAAAAGTTTTTTGAGATAGAGCGTTTTCGAACTGGCTGCCGAGATAGGTCGATCTTCCACTTAGCCATCGAGATGTTCGTATACAAACATATCTGCAGTTTTCTAATCAGCTTTTTCCGAAAAATTTAAAGTATGCAGTTTTATAGCCAATTTGTTTTTATTTTTAGTACATGTAACAAAGTGTAAGCTTGAAGTTGCTAAAAAATTACATTGATTATTGGCAATTTTTTATCAAGCAGTTTCTCCATATAAAGTATGTTCGTTAGATTCTTTTGTACGAAACAAAATAATAACACCGCCAACAAAAAAATTTCTAAAAATCAACGGGGTTTTCTAGAAACTTCTAAGTTATTCTAAAAAGGGGTGGGCTTTAAAACTACGTATTAAGAATTTTTATAAAGTATGTTTGTGTTATTACTCCCAACTACACCTCTAATCACTTCATTCATAAAGAATAAAATTGAAGAGATTTTTATCACATTAAATGAATAAAATTTTACAATTGGGTGGCAACCCGCTGAAAAAATATTTTCGACAATTAACTTTTTTAAACCTCTTTAGTTGTTTTATTTTATAATATTACTAATTGAATAAAATTACCCTCTCAAAAATATTTTTGGCAGTAGCTTTCCTAACCCTATTTAATTTAATACCCGTATTTATCCTATAAATTAAATCAAACTTAAACTTTCAAACAGGTGGCAACCTTCCACAAAAATATTTTAAGCTGTTTGCCTTCTTAAACTTTTTTTTTGTCAGCCATATTGAAATTCTCAAACAGATGACAACTCTCTATTATTTTTTTCCTATGTTTAAAGTTAGACCTGTAGCATCGATGAAAACTGCGGCAACGCAAAACGAACAACAAGAAAATGGCACAATGTTCGAGGATGGAGGTAGAATATTCGAGAGCAAGAAACGTCAAGTGGAAAAAAACTACGAACAGCGAGAGAATGAGCGATAGATGTCAGAAGGTTCTAGAGTAGCCATGAGTGCGAAGCAGCGCGGGTATATAAAGGCGTTGCTACAGCGTTTCAGAAGTTCAGTTCCGAATCAGCAAGTTTGTTAAGTGTTTAATTGCTTTAACAAGTATTGTAAATTGTTGTTATTGCCTAAACAAGTATTGTAAAGTATTTGTTGTACAATAAAGTTAATTGTACTGCAATTTGGCCACCTTGAGCATTTCCTTAACAATCTAGCGATACGAACCGAAATAATTTTGTGAAATCCGTAAAGTAGTCAAGGAGATTCGTAACAATATGTATAGATTGCAGATCTGTTTGTAAACGAGCGTATACACAAGAAAAAATTCGACAAATTTTTGACGGGACCGATGAGGGTGAACATTCTACAAAAACCAAGAGTGAAATGGTCAAAATATCTGTGACACTATATACATATCAATAACTTTTTTTACCATATGCGTATTTATTTAACCGCAAACTTTTTTAGTTTGGTTTATTTACATAAATGCGCAATGACGTACTACAATGACTTTTAAGCTATATTTTCCGTAATATCCCACCTCCACTTTTAACTTGTACTCACACAATGTGCTTGACGGCTACTTCGACAAACTTGTCACATACTTCGTTTACGTAGATATCTTTTTCAATGTAGTATGTGACTTGTCATTTGAAAATTAATAAACTGTTCAACTGCAGCAAAGTATTCGAAAGTTTCAAACTATCAGTGTACTACTAACACTTTCACCAGTTTGCGTTAATCTTTTTGTAAGCGCTTCCTTTCGCACTCAATAATTCAATGCAGCTCCTAAAAATGTGAATGTGTGCGCGCTTTCTAAAACTTACTTTCATCGACCGACCGCTGGTGACAGCGCCAATACCAATACAATCACATTAATGTTTGCTACCCTTTAATGAGGGGATGATGCTCATATGCACATACATATGTATGCACTTTTATATGCAAACATATGTACGTACATTCATATGTATATCGGACAGATATCGGAAAATAAATAGAGTATAGTGCCACTTCAACTAACTTTTTGAGGTTGACATGCCCTCTTCATATTTTTACTTTCCTACTTCTCATTCTACTTTTTGTCTACGTCAGCTTCCAACAGCAGCAAAGTAAACGGTTCATACTACTCTAAATTGACATTCAATATTTCAAGTATCTTTCCATATGCTCTTATGTACATACATTGTACACAGTGGCATAGCCAGAGAGGGACTGTTTTGTTTATTTAATATTTGTCAGTTTTTATAAAAGTATACTACATTATGTGATAAAAACCATAAAAATTTATATTTCAAACTTTGTGCAAAAATTATAAAAATTATGCAAAATCGCTTCTAAATTTTCAACTTTTTTAACAGAATTTAAAGATTTTTTTTGAGTATGCAGTTTTATAACCCATTAAATCATAGTAGAACAAAGTGCAAGTTTGATGTTTCTAAAAAATCGCGTTGCTTTTTGATAATTTTTATCTTGAATGTATTACGCACTTCTTTCCATACAAAAAAAAAAAAAAATGTCGAACATACTTTTTATGGAAGAAAATGCGTTAAAAAAATTGCCAAAAGTCAACGCGATTTTTTAGTAACATAAAACTTAAACTTTATCTATCAAAATTTAATGGGCTATAAAACTGCATACTCAACAAATTTCTAAAAAATCTGATTAAAAAGGTGCAAGTTTGCAGATTTTTTATAATATTTACACCATGTTTGAAATATGAATTTATATGTTTGTTTGTTAGATAATGGGCTATGCTTTTATGAAAAAAAGAATAAATATTAAATAAACAGAAGACAAGTAAGAAAACATTTTTAAAATGTGGTGTCACTATTTATTTTCCACTACTGTATGTATGAAAAATTACACAGACGACGCCTCTAGCCATTGAGGATCTCACCTTTAAACTATCGCTGAATTTTTTTTTATTCCCTCCCCCCCATGGCAATGGAAATGTCTATCTTCCGAGTGTATTTCTGCCATGAAAAACAGCTTTTCATAAAAATACAATCACCGTTCGGAGTCGGCGTAAAACTGAAGGTACCTTCCCTTTGTGTGACAACATCAAGGCGCACGATACAAATCGGTGGAGAAGCTCGGCCAAACACTAACATATGTATGTGTAAGCGCCAATCTATTATTATTATTATGCAACATTTTTTACTTTAATATTTTCCGCAAATTTTTTATAAAATGAAAAACTCAGGAAAGTTCATCAAAAATTCTTTATTCGAAAAATTCGAAATTCTGAGCAAAAAGAAAAAGTACGTGTTCCATTAAATTGTTCAACGAACAATCCCTGTGAGTTTTATCGCAAACTTACATTTACTTTCCCTCCGCCTGGGTGATTTGAGATGGAATGACCCTACTTATATTGAGGAAATTATTACTTATATATTGAGTAAATTTACTTCCTCAAATTAATGACGCCCTATTTTTAGCATGAACCTGAATTAAGGAAAAACTTCTAAAATTGAGTAAATTTTTCGTAATATTAAGGAAAAAAACAGTAACTCTAAAATAAGGCTACGGGTTTCTTGTTTTAGGGAAATGCTGTTTTCTGAGTATATGTACGAATACCGCTCAGGGAGTGACACTAGTGCTAACTAAGGCTAACTACTTTTGCGGTGAGATGACCGCAAAAAATTCAGACCTGGATACCTCTTTATTACATGTCAACTAATTTGTAACTAACTACTTTTGTATACAAGCTATCAATAACAAAATTATTTTTTATTTTTTTATTTTTCATTTGTATTTATTTATTTTATATTTAACATTGTATATTTGTTTACATATTCTGCTGTTGGTGGCACCATATTCGAATTCCGTCAGACATAACATCAAAATGATAATATAAAGTTTCGATCTTCATTTTGTTTGTCCTGAATGCGAAAAAGCATTTGTGAAGTGAAGAAAAAGGATATTCAGGTAATTTTTGTATGAGGATATTGAAACAGAAATCTGTTTTAAGAAAGCATGACTTTACAACTCACATTAAGTTGGTTTTTTCACATTAAAAGTTAGATATTTATAGAAATCCCGCAAAAAAGCTTACTACAGGTTGGTTATTTCTAACAATTGACAACTTTTCATTGCTGGGTTAGTATACATATATACACATAGATACAAATACATGTGTACGTTCACCTCTGCTTGCCTATGTGTGACCTCTGTCTGTGACATTAACGACTTCAGCCATTCTTTCGCTTTTATCAATTCACTCTTATTCATTCAACTTTTTTCTTTACTTTCGAGAGAGTATTACACATATTTTTTTTGTCACAAAGAGGGAGCTCATTTATAAAAATCTTCTGTTATTTTCTCAAAGTGTCAAATACATGGCAACTTGAATTACTGCATTGTCATTTTGATGGTTGTCGAATTGATAATAGATTAGTTACTGTTAAAAAAAAGTGTGTATTTTGGATAGTTCATATACTATATTCAAATACATACATATGTATCTATATGTATATACATGGAATGAGGTTAAATAAATATGAGGAATTCGTTTAGCTTGTTCTCCCTAAATGGTAATTAGTATCAAATCTATAAAGTCCCCTTACACCCAACCACTTCTCGTAAAAAAAAAACAATTTGCTGGGCAATACCAAAAAAATAAAAAAAAATCCACCTATTTTGTTTTAGTATTAGATAAGATCGACTTTCGATGGATGTAAATATTTTTTATCAAAGGCCTCTCTAGAGGCTCTTCCTGCCCATTCTCCTAGACAGCGAAAATCGCTGACAGTGAACAACGCATGCAATACTAAAAGGAAAGAGAAAGAATAAGAACTGCCCCGATATTTTTTAAGCCAGTTTATTCTAATATTTACATATACATATACAATTCACATGTATGTAATATGAAAGAAGAGTGGTTGCCTTGGAGACAGTGTTGTTCCACTGGCAAATATTCAGATAGCCGTGAGTTTGCTGGTAAGTCCCTAACTAAGCCCTGGTTAAAGTGCCCCTAGGCGTACCCTTACTTAACCCCACACAAAGTAGACCACAATTTTTAATTTTGGGAGTGGCCTTCTTGGGGAGTGACAAAAAGCCAAATACTTTTCTTATAAAGTGCCATAACACAAATTATGATAATGTCAGTTTTTTCCAATTTTCGAACACTTTTTTCGATTTGTTGCGAATTTCGAACGTTTTCCAACCACTCGATTATTCGATCCGCAATTTGGTGATACAAATTCGATTTATTCGGTCGGTCGGACAGGGTAGGAGTATGATGAATTGTGGAACGATTTTCCGTCATACCTTGTCAAATTTGGTTTGTCTCCAAATCGTTCTAAATCAAATCACATATAAAAAGTTTTTTTTCTCAAACAACACAAAACACGGAACGAAATAAAAGTTCAACGAAATAAGTAAATAAAAGTTGTCACGAAAAAAAAAAATGTCAAATAACAGAAAAAATCCAATCGAACATCGAGTTCGTTTGCTGATTTCCATAACAAAGAAGGCGCTTTGTGCTTGATCGTAGAAAACTTGATAGTGCTTTCTCACTACTGCCAGCGCAAGATCATGAGGATGGGCAGTAACCATCCAGCCTATATCTTGCAACTGTAAGGGCAGGGTGTTCAACGTTAAGTACCTTAAGTAGGTTTTAAAATTTATCTGCCCTTCAAACACAAATTTTGTTTTGAAAAAATATGTTTAAAGGGTAGATTTACTTTAAAGCCTACTTGATAAAACGGCCCTTAGTTTTATTACAGCCCAAACTAAAATAAACGTAAAAAAAAATTGGTCACTAATAAAATGAAAATTTAAGAATTCTAAGAGAAGAATTCACAGCAAAATTTTGTGAACGATCTAAATGGTAAACGACGACAAACAAAAAGGGGCAAAAGTGTCGTTAATTTTAATAAATAAAATGGAATCCAAACAACCGCAATGTCAACACAAATGCAAGAAGATAATAAAAGGGACACCACTTCGAAAGGCAAACAGAAAAACTAAAAAAAA